ATGAAGAATATAATTGAAATATCAATTTCCAAGTATTTAAAAACACTCCTCATAGTCATTTTAACCATAAAATATTCCAATTGCTTTATTTCTTTTACAATTAAGTTGTTTTTGTTTTTCTTAACAAGCCCTAACCCTAGCCAGTGAGCTTTGATAAGCTGTAACTTTTGATCCAATCGTCCACTTAGTGTGAAATTTTGCACCCAAATACCAGTATAAGCCTTCTATATGCTCAAAAAATTTCAGCCTAATCCAACTTACAGATTGCAAGAAAACGCCCAAAAACCGCACTGATGACACTCGGCCGCAACCTTGAAATTTGATGTAGAAACTCCAGAAGTGATTTCTCCTTTGTCAACTGTTAACTCTAGCTCAAAATTGAATAGCCGCTTGATCTCCAAATCTTCTATTACCAAGCCAAAAATTATGTCGATCCAACTAATAGATCTTCAGATATCACAGAAACCCTATCCAACCCTAGACTGCCAACTTCCGACAACCCTTTGTACTAAAACCCAGATATCTCTTGATTGCATCGTTAGATTAACACAAATTTTTGTATACACTTAGCACACCCAACTATCCAAACAATACCAAATTTTGATCCATAGATGCTACACGACTTGCACAAACCGATTGAGAATGCAAACCATCAATGTTTTATATAAAATCCGAAACACCAAAATAAAAACTGACTTTGAGTAGCGATTGCTCTCCCCTCACAAACCCTAATGAAACCAAACTAGTGACCTTGAAAAGAGCTTGAAGCTAGCTCTTTGATCCAAAAAACTCGATCTGAAAAAAAAATCTCCCCCATTTATTAACCTTCTTCCCCTTTAACCCTAATTCTCCCCTCTTTCAAACCCTAGCCTCTGAATTTCTTCAATCTTCCGTCTTGGATCCGGAATTGGCTCCTTCCGTCTTAGATCCAAAATTGGCTCCTCCCGTCTTGGATCCGAAATTGACTCCTTCCGTCTTAGATCCGGAATTGGCTCCGTCGTCAGAGCTTTCTCCTCCATTTTTACCTTTAAGAGATCCTTTTACCGAAAGGACGTCTCCGGAATAGCACAAAGGACAGAACAGCCTGAAACAGAATCGGAGCCCCGTAATCGGAACAACATTGAGTCGCCCGACCAATTCAGGTCTCATATTGGATAAGAGGCACGTATTAAGACCTGGATGTTTCCGCAATTGGACCGCATTGGACTGCCCGACCAATTCAGGTCTCATATTGGGTAAGAGGACATGGATTGGATGTCTTGAAATTGGATCCAATTGGCTCTTCGAACCAAGCTCACCCGTCGTTGAATTGGTCCTTTTCCTTTCTGCTGACTCCCGTTATTGGAATCGAATGGAGCATTTCAGTAAGCCCCGGCTGACTGTAACGGGGTGACTAAACCTAGCCTCTCAGTATTTGCACTGGAATTGGTCGTTGCTCCCAATATTCGAGGTAACTGAACATTAATAAAAGTCCTCTTTCTTTATATTTTCACAGTATACTCGTGTTACAAGACGACAGCGTGTGGATTATCAAGAACTTAACAAGATCACCATTAATAATAGGTACCCTCTATTTTTGATATCCAAACTTTTTGATCAATTGAATCAAGTAAAGTTTTATACAAAAATAGATCTATACATAGCATATAATTTAGTATACATCAAAGAAAGAAATGAATGAAAGATTGAATTTTAAATGAAGTATGGACATTTTGAATATAATATAATACTTTTTGGACTAACAAATACACCTACAACTTTTCAATATTTAATGAATGATGTATTTTGTGAGTTTTTAGATAATTTTATTTTTTTTTATCTAAATGACATCTTAATATATTTTAAGAATACAAAAGAACATAAACTTTGAATTTGTCATGTATTATAGAAACTAACCAATATAAGATTTTATACAAAGATAAAAATGTGTGTATTTCACATTAATTAAGTTGGCTTCTTTGGACACATAATTTGAAATGAGAGAATTATGATGGATTTTACAAATATTCAAATTATCATAAATTAAAATGTTTCAAAAATAAAAAAATATATTCTTAATATTTTTTGAAATTTTCTAATTATTATTGAATCTTCATTAGAACTTTTTTAAAGTTACAACTCTAATTATATTTTTGACTTCTAAATATAAAATTAAGTGTAATTAAAAAGCCATAGTAACATTTGAATTTTTAAAGATAATCTTTGTTTCTATACCAATCTTATATGATATTGACTTCTTCAAGCCATTCTTTATTGAAACATACTCATTGGACTTTGCTTTAAGTATTGTATTGCCACAAATTAGAGCAAATAAAAAACTTCATCTAGTAGCTTTTCATTCAAAAAAAATTCAACATGCAGAGATTAATTACAAGATCTACAAGAAAGAACTTCTTACAATTGTGGATTCATTTCAAGAATAACATCATTATTTTAAAATTACTTCTAATGTAGCCATTTTGTATATAAATTAGATGAACTTCAAGTATTTAATGTTAGTACATGTTTTGAAATGTTGCCAAGTCAATTAGAATAGGTTCTTATTAAAATTCAAATTTAAGATCACTTTTCATTTAAAAAAATAAGATTTGTGAAATGTCTTTTCTAGACAATCTTATCTTACATTAAAAGAAAGAGATGCAATTTTTTATTAACAATGAACCATTCTCTTGAAGCTAAAGCAATTACATCTTTAAACAATAAAATCAATACTAATTGTTGATTCAACTTTTTTAAAGCAAGTTCAGTCAAATATGTCTTCTAATCTTCATGTTTGTGATATTAAGAAAAATTCTTCAAAATCTCATGATACTCCCAAATTTAAATTTAAGAATAATCTATTTTATTTTGAAAGATGCTTATATATTTTAAAAGATAAAATATAATTATGTATTCTTCAAGCTCATCATGACTCTCCAACAATAAGATATTTTGAATACAACAAGAAATCTCATCTAATATCTAGAGATTTTTGGTGGCTACAAATGTGAAAGACAATAAAAAAAAATATTGTACAATCAAGTCATATTTATTCAAATCAAATACTCCTTATCATTGACCTTGTAAATTTCTTTAGTCATTACCTATTCTAGAAAAGCCATCATCTTTTGTATCTATAAATTTTATCACAGTATTGTACTATATAAAGTTTGCTTGAGAATGCACTTGATACTTAGCTATAGAAGATAAAATGAAACTTTCAAGAAGATGATTGTAATAATTTTAATAGAATCCTAAATAAATTCCAAATAAATTATAAAAAAATTAATTAATAGTTAATTGAATCCAAAAGAAGTTTCAATTATTTACAAATGAAACATAAAGAAATAATAAATTAATCTTAATAAAATACATATAATATAGAAATATTTTAAAAATATATTAAAAATAGATATTTTAATTAAATCTTAATCAAATCTTTATGTAATCTTTAACAAATCTTAATAAAAATCTAAATCAATTTTGATAAAATCTTAGTAAAATCCTAGATCCTAAATCAATTCTAATTAATTCTTAATCAAATTCTAAATTTTAAATAGATTCTTAACAAACCATATAGCAAATTAAAAATTCAACAAATAATGCTTGAACCATTGCTTTTGATTCAAAAAATTTAAACTTTAGAAAAACTAAATTATCAACAAGCACAAATAATTTGAAGAAGATTGCACATACTAATTGTAAGAAAAGTTTCCAAAACCTCTTCGTTGTTGGCAGAACTTTGGAGCTTAGATGTGACTGTATTTCAACTTATGGTGTTTTGAAATGCATGCTACAATAAAAATTTCAATTAGCATGAAGTATAATCACTTTTAAGGTTAGCTTATGAAGCAAGTGTCTTTTTATCATTATCCATACTTCATGTTCGATTACATAGGAATCTTTTATTTATTCAAGGTGGTACTAGTATCTACTTCCAAACTTTTCTTTCACTTTTTACCAACTTGGCATTTTATTCTTCATTGCACCAAAGTTTTAAGCTTCTAATATCTTCCAATATTTTTTTAAAATGAATCTTTATTTTTTTTTTCAATATTTCATTAAAAGAAACTCCTCATAAATTATTTTTTCATTCTAAGTAATTGAATTGATCATCATTGACATTAGTCTTAATAATGGCATGACATACCACTCTGACCTTTTTTCAACTATATCATTGTTTGTTTTTTCCATCTCTTTGTTTGTTGTGATTACTGGTTCTCTCAAACCTGATTGAACTAATTTTGCAACTACAACTCTCATTTTTTTTATATATAAGCATAGTTAAGGAGTTTATAGATTCTTCACTACTATTATCAAAATTTTTAACTATGTACAATTTGTATTTCCTATGACTACAAGTTTGGTAGATAATAGTGCATACTAATCTACACTTTACAGCCACTTCTTAATACTTTTGAGTAAGAAATTAGTCTCTTTCTCTTAAAAGTAACGATTCTTATTCTCGTTTTATTATATATATATAAAAAAAAAAAAAAAAAAAAAAACATATATTTTAAGTCTGTGAAGATTAATAATTTATTTACCCTTTTTTTTTTCTTTTTTTTTTTTTTTACTTTAGCTTTTCTTTGAAACCTTCTATAATCAATGTTGTCGCAATCAAACAATGAGATTGGATACCAGATTATCTTTAAAAAGCATTTGGGAAAGATTCTGATTTATGACAGAGGACTGAGACCTCACATTAAAAATAAATGATTACGATGGTGAAATATATATTTTTCCAAACGTCTATAAAACTGACTTTGTGGACGTAGATGGAAAAGGACATTATCTTCTCACACAATCAATTAAGTTTGTCCTTGGTCCACGTAAGACATTCATCTTCATTGCCTATTCACTCAGATGTGTTCATCAATCCAACAAATTCTTTGCATTCCACCTTCTCAAATCTTCTACAACAGAATTGATATCATGAACAATAGATTCCATGTCAATTTACTTGATTTCTCAATTATTCATTTCTTGTTTACAAACTCTTTCATACTTGACAGCAACCATTTAATAAATGAAAATTGAGAAAAAGACAATTTTGATTAAATCGATTTTTCTGGAACGAGCTATTATTCCTTTTTCCTTCGGGCTTCAATAGCTGAAGAGTACCAAACATAACATGTCCCTTATCAGCAAAAGCCACACTGGGAATGGGAGAGGCTCTAACCTAACTATGGATGATGAACAAAGTGTCTGTGGAACTCTTTGAGCGATGAATTCAACAAAGAACTGGAAGCTGTCTACTTCAACTCAGTTCATCTGTGCAGCAGCTATCTCATTTAAAGACTACGTGGGGAGGGAAATCTCATCGTCAAAGTCTGGCTCTGAGTGACTTATCGTCGCGGATCTGAAGGTTTTCAGATGCAAATTGTCGAACTCAAACGATAAGCTGTAAACCCAACTTAGCAAAGGTGTTTACATGTCGAGTGATCACAATCACAGTAAAGGGTTGGCTTGGCCTGATGCTGGTGTTGGGTCACGGTAGACAGGTTTGAAGTGCCCAGTTAAGACTGTCCTGGCCATTTGGACGTCCCTTACGAACGTCGTTCTTGCCTTGGCATAGGGCGCATCACGAGCTGCAGAAAACGGAGAAAAAGACAAAAAAAAAAAAAAAGGGGGTGTCAAAAGACAGTCTCATCATTCTGGTTTCTTTTAATTTGTAAACGTCAGAGAAACTTGACGAGCTGCTGCGAAGAGAACATAAAATCTTACTATCAACTGTAGCAATACTTGATCCGCAACCTCTTGACCGTGATGAAATTTACATTCAGGACATCATGGACCAAAACTTCTAGAAATGGCACTAAATTGACGAGTGTTAAGTCGGAAGCTTACGAAGCCTCTGTGCCCGAGCAGTATTTTGTCTTCTTTTATAGAAAATATATCCCACCAGTACTGCTAGAAGAGATCCCAGCAGCACGCCAACAACAACGCCTGCTTTGGTGCCATGATCATGCTGACTACATGGTCTAATACCAACACCACATAGATCCTTATTGTCGGAAATGCTGCAACATGACCATACAGATCACCAACAGAAATAGAAGCATCAGTCTGGTTGATATCAGCTCAGTTGATAAAGAAAACGTTATTTCGTTTAGTAAATGACTAAGAACGGAAACTGTAATATTTTTCTCTAAAAAGATAAACTAGAAACAAATATTACATACTGACAGGTGCTACTCACTCAAGATTAGCTCCCTGCAGAGAGCCGGCAATCAGATTGTGGGGCACTTCTCCACTTAATAGATTATTGTTCAAGAACCTGCACGAAGAAAGATGTACTCAAACAAAGCTTACAAACACAGCTGATATGTGGCATCAAAAACATGCGGGTGTAAGTCACTATCAGAGGCATGAACACAAATGTGAGACAAGACACTTACAACTTTTGGAGTTTGGTGAGGTTGCCAAGACTTGCAGGTATTGATCCACTCACTTGGTTGTAAGATAGATCCCTTCACAATTAATACTTAAGGTCAGTATGATTGTATACAACACCTAATGTTCCATACAAATCGATTGCATTAAGTAATGACGTGATGCACAAAGAGTAGAGCATCTAATACACTCGAGTTTTAAAACATACATCGTCAAGAGAGATTCCAGGTGGCCAACCGATGAAGGGATTTGCCCTTGCAACAAGTTGTGACTCAGGTTCCTGCACCAATTTTCAGTCAGTCCATAGATGATAAAATCAACTTCTTCCGATTTCCCCATAAGACTTTCATTTAATTTGCACTATTCTTACACTGAGAAGAGATTCAATGCAATAGAAGGAAAAGGATGTAGGTTTATTAGCATACAAGTTCAGCAGTCCGGTTAAAGAGCCAATCTGTTCTCCAAGGAAGCCCCGCAGCCCTTGAGAACTAAGATCCCTACAGCAATCAACCATCACGTCGCTGTCAGACTATCAACAAACAGGTGCCCCACTACCTTAAAAACCTCAGCTCAACCAGCCGTTAAGAAAAGTAGCAGAAAATTGAATCCCGTGATAACTCAACGAGAAAAAATCATCACAATAAAAATAAACTAGGTACAACGAATCAAATATTACCAAGAATGCATATGTACAAAGTTTGAAATAAAATAATATAGTTTGAGGAACATACAGCCCATCAATCATCCACAAGCCTGTGGCGGTATCACGCTTGCAGTCCACTCCATACCACGGGTGTAATTGCGGCACACATGGGTCTCCATTCCAACCCATACGGACAGGTATATTTAAAGACTGTTTTAGCTGTTGCAACGCCCACACTGCATGATATGACTCCCACAAAATGAGACTGAAGCAAAAAAAAAAAAAAAAAAAAAAAAAAAATCATGAAGATAACGAAAGTGATAAGGTGACCAGCATCATGTAATTAAACTCCAGTGGGTAAGCTTGGTTGTTAAAGAAGTAAGAGAGCTAGAATCTTACAGTTTGTGTTCACAGTTTGAGCCTCAGTTGGGACAAGCGCATACACCTCGAAGGCATTCACGGCAATGTTCCCATTCCTGGGGTTGAAGGTAACTGTCAGGGTTTTGCCCGGAACTAACATTGTCGTGTTTAGAATCAGAGCGCTAAAAACACCTCCAGCCCGCGCAATAACATCCACATTAGGGAATACTGGCTGATCGTTAACCAAAATATCGAATATCCGATCGCCTGGTTCCACAAAAGTCGCCAGTTCTGCAAAGTAGAACCATATGGAGTACTGCAAGTTTGACTCCACGGGTAGCGTATATGAAAGACTCTGACCAGGGTTAGCGGATGTAGCAGTTTGAAAAATAGCCTGTGGATATATATTTGGGTACACTGCAGTATTATTGATGGTGACATTGGCGGAAACGGGTTTCACAGCTGAGCCTGGAAGAAAGAGGCTAATGTCACTCTCCCAGTATCGGTCGCCTCCCCATGGATCTGCCAAAAAATCGGACCCAAACCCAGATTTCTCTGCTCCTGCGCTTACTCTCTTCACAGTACGCATAATAAACTCTTCGCTAGCATTGAATCCTCTGTTATACGCCTGGTTAAAGATCTGCAACACTTCAATGGAGGCTACGGCTGGGTTTCCGTGCCCAGAGCTGTGAAAGCATATAGTGGCAGCTCCGTCATTCACAAATGCCAAAGAATCTCGATAATTGTTATCGTCTGAGCTCCATCCTGGCAGTAAGCTATATACGAGGGTGCCTTCTATGGAAACATCGAATTGCGGTTCATGACCGGCATTATCCTCCTGTCCATAAGTGAAATACAGCCTGTGTGCATTTCAGCACACTCCTTAATCAGACAATAATCGTAAGGGCTAAAAGTGTCCACTAATGCGAAATGAGCACACAAATTAAAGTATATTCACTCAGTGTAAAACAAGGGAAAACTAGATAACTGCCCAAGCAATTTGCAGATTCACATTCAGTCTCAAGTACAACTTAACCCTAGAACCATCCGACGCGAGCGCCGATGAATATTAACGACATGACCATAAAACTGCAAACTTTGATACGGGAAAGTCGGACTCCAAAAATTGCCTCGTGAAACGAAGAAAAATCAATTTTAAGATACGAATGGTGCCCTTGAAAGGTGAATTGCATTGAATTGCAGCAAAAATAACGTAAGCGTCGAAACGGAAGTCTCCTCTGCCAAAAACTAGGACAAAGTGTAACAAAGCCACAAGTACCTGATCAGATAATGTCCGACTGGAACCGTAATATTGTAGCAGTTCTCTCCACCATCTGACACCGAGAAGTATCTCAGTGTATTGAGCTGGGGAGCTTTGTGGTTATTTAAAGCAACGCTGGCAGCGCTACCACCTGAGTAGTCCCGATCTTTCGACCAAAGAAACCCATTTGCACCATGTGTGTCAGCAGTAGCCCCACAGGCGATGCGTACAGCCCATGGTCCTGCGATACACCTCATCAATTCAGAATTGTGCCGAAGAAAGAGGGCAACACAAATTCCAACTATCTGTCTTTCCATGCCATCTTGGATTCAATCAAAAAGTTGCACTTAATGTCCATACACTTCCCAAAAGACCTTTGGTTCCAATGTGAGCTAAAATCTCCTTAAATTATTCACTTCATTTTCAGGGACGTGGCTATCAGGAACTTTCGACAATGAAGTGTAGGACTACTACGCAAAACACGCATCCTCTTCAAATGGGCATGATTTTTTTTTTTTTAAATGATCCTCCTTCGCAAGTCCTACAGACAAAGATATTGACTCAGCCTAGAACCCTAAAATTATGCCGTCGACCATGTTCTTTGGTTCCTGAGAAGTCCATGTACCAACGACTCAACTTCACAGGAGAAGCTCACGTTACCTTGGGCGGCCACCGGGGGTAGACGAGAAATACAAACCAGCAAGCACGCAACAAGTGAGAACGCCAGCGCTCCCATTCCGACCCGCATTGTGTTGATTAAATATTTCGGAGGAAGACACAGCTGAATGAAATTTACGTTGTAAACCTTGAGAGCCAAACTTTTGACCTAGGGCTTCGGTGCATTCTGTGGACTCATTGTCTGTTCTCAAAACCACAAGGTAAACCTGAATCCACAAGGTCACAGAGAATAGGAACCCCTACTCCAGCACACGTCTATCCAAACTATCCTGCACGAACCGGCAAATCTTTGCGCTCTTCTGCAGCGACTCTTCATTTTCGGTCTTCATGAAAGAAAATCAAGTACAACATCCAAACTATCGCCGAATAACATGAGCTACCCGGATTGTCCGCCCTACCTATTTCCCCCAAGCCACCTCCTCGGCAACCTCCTCTCGTGGCTTAATCATCGCGGCTACCATCAGTCTTGAGATGGCTTCGTCTTCACGGTCCGGTAGGAGCTAGGACAATGGCAGTCTTCGGTCTATTCGAGGAGTACTTTGAGTCGCCACGAGTCGTAACACGGCAGTCAGCTTACTCTCTATTCAACAAAAAAGAAGGGCACGGATATGTCTCAGCGACATGCCAACAGGTGCAAGGCACACACACACACACACACAGTTCCACGGCAACGGCGAAATAACAGCCTCGAACCAAGTAGAATCTTCATTAAGACACCATCACCGTAGATAGCTAAAAACACACACAAATTCCAAAACCAGGCGCGCAAAGAGCACAACAAAGCCAGAATACCCATGGTAAGTAATCATACTAACCGTGTTTAGAACGAGAAGGAATCGCGATCACAACCACATTATAACTCACTGCGTTCCAAACCTCACGAAACAAGCTCTCCGAACTAAACCAAGCGATGCTGCTGCATAACACGCAACCCAGCATCTACATTTCTAACAAGCACCGTCGGACAATCTCCCCGCCAACGTAGTGAGATTCGACCCAACAGCCATGCTGCTCACTCAACTCCCAGCATAATCACACTCCAAACCCAGCGACATTTCTCACCTGAATCCGAACTACACACGACTGGGTGGCGAGCAGGGCCGCAATCTCCCGACGAACTAAATGCGCCACGCAGCTCCCCGCAACAACAACAACAACAACCCACAAAACCAAATCCTCATGAAACTAGACATAAAAAAAAAAAAAAAAAGGGCTAACTACTACTCCAGACTCCACGAGACGCATTGATTGACGAAACCGGACAGCAACGCCACAGAGCACCTAAGTGAGATCAATGCGCCTGGTCTGCGCTCGTCGCGTAGATGCGATCCAAAGTTTGCCGATCTGCGGAATCCCTCGCAATTCAGTGCATCGACGCCGCTGCTGCTGCTTGTCAGACCCCATCCCACAGTGCCGCTGGCACCCCAGGTCTCCTCCCATGTCCTTATCCTACGTGGCATTAGGGATCTGGACATAGCCACCTGGTCTGGTCTTTCAGGTCCCGATGGAGATGTTGTTTCGAGATGTTGCGAATGGATACCTGAAAAGTGTCTCTCTGCTGCCATGGGGGGGTATGATTAGCACTTCGCCTGCCTTTGAACCCCTTTTTGTCAGAGAATTGGTTCCAAAAGGGGATTGTGTAGATTTTTACAATATGTGGGTGTTTTTCTTTGAAGTTTGGTGAAGAGGACTACGTTTTCATTCCGCACATAAATGCAAAAAAATGCTACAATATTATCTGTTTTATTTATTTATTTTTGTTTCCCATTCAATTATTCATTCACTTTATGCATTCAAGTTGGAATGTTACAACATGCTCATAAAACATAGCTGTTTTTTTCCTTTTTATATGTATGTATGCAAATATATATATATATATATATATATATGTATGTATGTTTATTTGTTTGTTTGTTTAAGTTGAAATAGACCTAATTGTCTCATTCACTGATAGGATTTCAGGTAAAAGGTATAGTCTCTACCATCATTTTGTGCTATTCTTCTATTGCTTGAACATTGAGTGATTGGAGGGAGCAATTGCATGCATGCATGCATTACAATTTATGATTTTTGAATTGATTTTATGTCACTGATGTGTTTGCATGTGAACACTGTTGATATGTGTGCATTTCATTGACGCTGTAGATAAACTCCCATTTGTTCATAAAAATATTTGTGTCACATTTACTGGAGATAACAAAATTAAATAGTAGTGTATATATATATATATATATATATATAATGTGGGAATTTCATTACATGAGTTGCTTGCCTAGACATGGAACAATAATTTAAAAATGGTATTGCATTACAAAAAATATTATGATGAATCTCTTAATTTTTTAATGTAGTTTTTAAGCATAAAAAAGTATATACTATTAACAAAACATAAATTTAAAAATACTAAAAAAAGAATATGTATTCAATGTGATAAAGAATGTGATATCAGAGCTTTAGTGCACACATGTTTTATAATGCAAAAGCACAAAAGATAACTCAAAAGTAAATTTTATAACTTATAGCATCTTAATGCAAATAAATATAGTGAAAGAAAAAAGGGAAACACCAGGTGGACATCTTCTTTTTATTGGATAGACACCTCCATGCCATGCATACCAACATACAAATAGCGAAAAAATTACAAGTACTAAATTTTTGCAAGTGCATTTACAATAAAAGATCTCATAAATGGAATGAATAAGATTTTGAACGTTACTTAAAGAATTGCATGACATATTTCATGAAATTATGTTATATTTAAATTCAAAATATATATACAAAAAATCCATAATACATTGCAAAAAATCTCTTACTATAAATTCATTCTAAATTTATTTTGGTATAAACAAGAGTTTCACTATATAAATATAGAGATGTATGGAATAAGGCGTCTACTTGGTAGTTTCTAAAGAAAAAAATATACATATTAAAAAGATTTAATTTTATACATCAAAAACGTATAATTTCTTGATTTTTTTATTTTTATTTTTTTAGTGTAGATAAGAAGCTATGGAACATAAAAAATAGAAATAAATAAATATAATAATAAGTAGTTTTTCATTCGTTTATATATATATATATATATTACCTTTAGTGTCATAGTCTTTGAAATTTAAAGAATTAAGAAGGATAAATTGTTAAAGAAATTTATGCAAATTCTTGAATTAGTATAGTTCATTGTTAATCTACTTAGACTTTAGTAGTTAACATCTCCCCTACAAAAATTATTGTATGTATATATAATTCATCCTAGCAAAAAGATTACTGTAAAATAGGTTGTAAACTTTAAATAATTATTGCACATTCTTAAAAAACTATCATTCACTTGTTTATTATGAAAAATTATATAGATAGATCTAATGGTGTCAATCTATTTCTTTATCTATTTCTTTATATATATTGGAATAAAAAATATATTAAGTGGATATTAAGTTGTGGTGGCATTAGCAAAAATTGTAATATTTGTAGAAAATATTGTGATGGCATTAGTAGTATTATATATATATATATATATATATATATATATATATATATAATTTTTAATACAATTTATAAAACTAAAGCTTTATGTTTTTCTAATGTATAGATTCAAAATGTATAAGTTATATTATTATACTAAAACTTTTGCAAATACTGTTGCTTCAATAAGCAAATATTTATATCCTCTTGACTTCTCTTGAGACAGTTTTTCAAAAAAATAGAAAAATTCTTTTATAATAGTTGTACCAATACATATATAGTAAAAAATAGAATGTAAAAAAACTCGTTAGCCATAAGACATAAGAATTGATGGAATTAATGCTAATTCTCTTAAACTAATTAAAGTGAAGATAACATCATACATAGTATTAGTAAAAAGCTCGCAAAGTCTATCCAAAACATTTAAAATACAATCATAAAAACTTACACATAAAAATCTAACATCCAACAAGTCAAAACCAAAAACATCAAGCATGAGTGAGATACACAAATATGGTGATAGAAATGGCTCACAACCTTGTACTACCTCACATCATGGACGGATGATCAACAGACCAAAAAAGTTTTGAAAAAGCGACCATCAATACCTAAACTTCTTCTTCTTCACCTTCTTCTTGAAATCCTCAATCCCATGCAAAAACCTTCTTTGGTTTTTTTTGACAGAATAGGCAGAGAGCGTGCAGAAAAGGAAGGAGGCTTTATAAATATAAAACATTTATATTCTAATAATAAAAGATGCGGTGGTGCCAGGGCAACATCATGCTCCTCCTCCCATGATGATGCATGCATTCATTCCAGACTCGTCGCCGGCAGGCTCGGGTGATGCTTGCTAGCTAGCCATCCTGAGAAAACACACTGGAGCCTTCCTACATCTATGGGTACAAAGAAGCACCGGACCTGCAGTGGAGGCGTCGGAACACACACCCACACACACTTACACAAACACGTATAAACTGATTGCATGACTGTGAATTTGCAGAGTAAATTCTTTGTGTAAGAAGAGACTGAGTGCTGAGCGTGATGAATCCGCACTGCACTGGGATTGGAGAAGAAGGAAAAGAACAGGAGGAGCAGTGGGATTATCTGCATGGATGGCTATGAGATAATTATTATGATTATTATTATTATTACTGTTATTTATTACGTGGGTTCTGCTACAGATCTCGATCAGGTCTGGTCTACAGTGAACAGCAGCAGCGTATTTCTGAGCAAGCGCGTGGATCGCGAAGGGGCCCATGGGGGCAAGGCCTGCAAAGAACGACAACGGAGGAGCCTGGAATTATTGGTGAGGACCTTCACTGACACCGGATTTGAATCCAGCGCTGCTGCTGCCCAATCACCACTTCGCAACTTATGCAACGAACGTGCCTCCGCAACGCTGCTACTGCCTCGATCTCGCGACATCGGCGTCGACGGAAGCTCTCAATTGTTTTCTGGATTTTTCTATACAAAGTAATCAAATTAGCACATTAAAATCCACTTTGTAGTGTTCGGTTTAATTTTGTCATCCTACAACTCTATGCCGTCCAGTATATTCTTTTCGCAACATGGGTACGTTTATTTTTATATTCTTTTGTGATTTTATTGAAATTGATATATATATATATATATATATATATATATAGTGTGGAGTATTTTAGCTTGATTCATGAGTCTGTATGATAAACGTGCACACATAACTGAAAGTTGAAGATTTATATTCGACTGAATTTGTTAAATCAAATTTCGATTTGCACTTACTAAATGTTAATTCAATAGATTATCAATATTTGACAAAAATGTGGTCATTTAAAATATTCTTAATTTCTTACAGCATCTATTATAATTAATAAATGTAATTGTTAAAAAAACATGTCAACCAATTGAGTATGTTAAGAGATGAAAAAAAAGATCCTCATAAAAGTCCACTTTCACAACAACATTATCTACATTAAGATGCAATTTCACCGCTTTTTTTATTTTATAAATATATATATATATATATATATATATGTTTTCTAATTACTGAATAACATACATTAGGTGCTTGTTGGTTGCTGTTGAATACATAAAAAACTACATAATTGTGTGTTTTAATCTTAATTTCAATTTTTTTTGTTTGTGATAAAAACTCAAAAAAACTTGTAATTTTTGTTTAAGATGTTGGAAATCATTCTCTAACATTTTATTCTACAAAGATCTATCCATATATAATTTCAATTCAAAAAAATGATAAAATAATAAAATACAATAAAATACAAGATGAATTTATTTATTTATCAATATGATATTTTTATGGGTGTATATAAATTATTTAATATTAGAGCTTTCTCCATCTTAATCTAATTTAGAGAAGCAATCATTTTCTTTCTTTGGCAAGAGACTTTCGATATCATATTGTTATGTAATAGAATCTTGTGTAATATAGATTTTTTTTTAAGATTTTTTTTTTTTGTTAGATTGTTATACAATTAATATATTTACAATAATTTGGGACTTGCGTCTAGACTAAGAAGTTGAGAAGGAGGTCTTCGACTTATGCCAAGATTAGAAAGAAGGAGTCATAAAGCAACTAATTAGAGGCATTGGGTGTCTGTATAGCAATTTGGAGTGTGCATATAGCTATTGGGAGTGTGCTTATAGCTTGAGTCTTATAAAAATATATTCTAAAAATTCCTAAAAATTTCTAAATAATTTCTAAATAAAACTTGTAAATACTTATAATGTTCTTGTAATGCTAATATTAATTTAGTGCTACTTTTTTCTACCTTTATAAGTTCTCATAATAATGGATTCAATTTAAACTAACTAAAAATCATATTTTTTTAAATAAATAATCAATAAGATATGAGATTTTTTTATGCTCCTTCTACCTATTCACTAATATTTATGGGTTTTGAATAAATAAAATATTTGGAGAGAAGTTAAAATTAGATATAAATTTCAATAACTAAACAATAATTCTTAGCACTAAAAAAAAAAAAAAAAAAAAAAAAAAAAATTAGCTAAGATAATTGCCAAGACTTGCTAAGACTCTATTTTATGATTTTTTTCTCTAATTATACTCTTGTAAACCCTTATGAATTATAATAATTATTTAAATAATTAAATAAATTTTATAATCTTAATTTATTTGTATCTAAATTACTTTGAATCCTATTTTTAATAATTCCACCAATTAAGATGTATTGGTAAGAATCACAATAAACTTAATATTGCTTTAAATTCTATAACATCATTCTAACCTTCACAAAATTTGTAATTAATGCATTCTAACAAACTTAAATTCTATTTATATCTTGTTGCCATATATTTATGAAAATCTATTTTAAATTCTAATCTACCTTACTTTCTTGCGTCCTTGAATTCTAATTATTAATCCTTATCATAATCAAAAGCATTTTTAAACAGCAATTTTTTATTTATACTTTTTTTATGTAGCTCACTAAATCTATTTTTCAATTTGAATCCACATTGACTTCTTACATCCACTTACTTCAAACTTCGTCTCAATTTCTATTGTACATGGCTTTCCAATTAGTTGTTCTCTATCTCTTTCAACTATAATCCTCCCTTCCTATCCTATCCCGTCCTATCCTATCAAATTTTATATTATAATTATCTGTGAAATCAAATTAGGGTTAAGAGTCCAGGCAATTGGATGGATGGATGAGAACTGGGTGTGGAACTTCGTTTGTCCAGGGGAACTTCCTCTTTCTCCTATCTTCTAATTTTTGCACTAGTCTTCCGAGGATGCTCGCCGACTAGTGTCTCACTTGTTTTCTATTGCATTTGCAATGTTATCCTGCAGCGAAAGCGCCAGCCTATTGTAATCGGACAGTTGGTGTTGTTTTCTTGGTGAGAGAAGATTTTTTGAGAAAAATTATATATAGTGGAATTAGAATTTGAAGAAATGGCGACGACGCTGGCGAGAGCCTGCTGTTCCACCAGCTTTGGCTTGCTGGACCCCGCGTCGCTTGTCGATTCTCCGCGCTTATTGAGCTCCCGTGTATCGTTTCTGGGAACGCCAGTGAAGCTTAATGGACGTATGTGAGACTCTTTCACGTTTGCCCCCTCCAATCCTCACGTCTATCTGTGAGGTGTGTGTGTGTGTGTGTGTATTTATGAGTTGAGGTGTTGCTAGATTATGTTTGTGTGTCAATATGTTACTCTTGCATTCGCCGGGTTTGAAATTCTTCTTTTTCTTGGATTTGAGACAGGTGAAGAATGCGTCGGTTTACTGCAATTAATTTTGGTCGTCTGGTAATGGTCTGTAGTTTCAGCTCGTAATTGAGTTTTAATCGTATTGTGTAGGGCTGGCTTCGTATCAAGGTGCATCTGAACATGGAGGTTTCCTCCACACCAGGAGAGTCAGTCAGAGGCTCCAGGTATCAGCAGCAGTCAAGGAGGTGACTGGATCCTTAGTGAAGGGCGCAGGTCTTCGATTTGGCGTGGTACGGTTTATTTCGACTGTTCACCGGGTCAACACTCTGCATTTCTGTGGTAATTGCTAGCTCTAACTCTTGGATTGTGTGTAGGTAGTTGGTCGCTTCAATGAAATCATAACTAAGCCTCTGCTGGCGGGAGCTCTCGATGCATTCTACAAACATCAAGTGCGGGAAGAGGATATAGACGTATGTGTTCTTGCATCAACCTTCTGTTTGCTACTCCGACTGTCCGAATATGAATCCTCGGTGATGTTTATTAATTTGTTTAAAATCGATCAAAATCTTATGGATCTCTTTGTGAGCTAATAAGTATTTGCCTTAACACGGTATTTTCGGTAGGAGATAATGTTTTAAAACAAATTATTATCATAGACCTTCTAGGAACGGAAACACAGGGAATCGCGCGTTGTTTTTAAATCCAGTAAACACTTATCAACACGGAAGGTTTGAGACTAAAAGGAAAGAATATTAAGAGTTTCTTTGAGTCCCAATTTATCCCTCCTCTGGTGCTTAGCCGAAGCCCTTGTCGAGCTCGGGGAATAATCATCATCAAGTTGCCAATTCTTTAAAAAATGATATGAATGCAGGTGACATGGGTGCCAGGAAGCTTTGAAATTCCGGTGGTTGCTCAGCAGCTGGCAATGTCAAAGAAGTACCATGCAATCCTGTGCATCGGAGCTGTGGTAAGAATCTTGCAACAGCCTCGTACTAAGCAAGTCGATCGTTAATGCGCTTGGGCATTTGACTAGGCTGATCTGCAAGCGCCCGAAGCATCTTATGATCGGGTTATTGTGCAGGTCAGGGGCGCCACCACTCATTATGACGCTGTTGCTAACTCGGCAGCATCAGGGATTATGTCTGCGAGTCTGAAATCAAGTAAGTATCTCGCAAAACGTCAAACCCTCACTCTACGATCACTCTGTACTAAAGGATCTAGAATACATGGTATGTGGTAAAGAGTATGAGAGCTACTTTTCTGGACTGCTACTTAGGAAACTGATTTGAGTAGTTGGCACTGTGTGTGGTCTGTAATTCTGCAGTAGTTTTCAAAATCTATGTTCACCTCAGAGTGTATGGTTTTGTGACTGCAGATGTACCCTGCATTTTTGGTGTGCTCACGACTGAGAACATGGAGCAGGTACTTCTATTTCTTTACTGCTGTTTTATTCCCTCAGAATGTTCGGATGCGCCAAAGTATGGCATCTATTTCGTACACATCCTGAAATTTGCTTACGTCTTGATATAAGCCAACTGAAGCGTCTATGCTTCTCTCTCTTGTTCAGGCCATTGATAGGGCAGGTGGAAAAGCTGGCAACAAGGGAGCTGAGGCTGCTATCACCGCGGTCAGTGTAAAAATTTAGTTTAGTTTGTGAACATTATGTGCCCTTAAAACATCGCACTTGTATTATTTAGGATACTAATGGATTTTCCTTTCACTGTGCAGCTTGAAATGGCATCCCTTATTCAACATCATCTGGTTGACTGAACCAGTGAATATGCATAGACAAAGATTTCTAGAAATGCGTCCTCACAAGTTTTTCGTCTGATGAAAACTTAACTTTTTCCTTACACTCAACAGGGATTATCTGGTGATACTTATATGACGATTACTTTGAATATTATAATAATTTAAGCGATGTCAGCAAAGTCGTAGATGAAGCTTCACCATCTTCTCTTCATGTGTATGACAGTAAGCACAACTGCATGGTAAACATAAACATTGGGTCTCACAATACCAAAATTTAACAATAGAATGACTGAAATGTTCCACCATATTTGTTTCAGTGAATTTGGATATACCTCTATTGATCTTACTATAGTTTTAGCAGAGTATTTATACTATATGTTAACCAGAATTTTATTGATATGTTGGAAAGGTTTAGTTTGATTTATATTTACATTGTATTTAATATGCATAATATCTTGCCAATTATGTAGAGATTGGTTTTATATATTTTTTATGTTCAAATTTTCATCTTCTAATATTTCAAATTGATAAATTTATATTTATTTGAATATATGTATGTATATATATGCAAAAGAATGTTCAAGCAATCCAATTTTTTACTAAATTAACCCACTTCTTTAAACCATTATTTCATCTTTTTGTCTACGACTTAGTTCTCCACATTCTTGTGTCCTTGTCTTTGTTTCTTAATAATTTGATTTTTGTGTAGGAGGTAGAAAAATAGGAGGACTTCACCACAAATTTTACATTGTGTAAGATGAAATTAAAAACCTATTCTGAATTCATATCAAGTTGCATCAAATTGCATTAGATTTAGTATTGCATTGTTACAATTTTACATACTCAAACAACAATTTTCACATCTATTACTTATAAATCTACATCTAGTATATGCATCACAAAATTGTCTAACACATCATTCACCACCTCTAGTAGATGTGTCTTCCATTGCCTCAAATTCTTATCTTTTTTGTCCTTTTTTAATTGCTCTTTCAATGATATCAATGGATCCAACCACTTATTGAATTCCATACATAGCCCTTCTTAGACCGCTTACAACTTATTATTGTCAAATTCCATGTACAACATAATCATTGGTAGGGACTTACATTTTGTTAACAACTTCTTATTCTTATTCTTCTTTTCTTCTTCCTACTCCAATCTCTACGCATCTTGTTTGTTGATGTCTTTAAACAAGGACTTCTTGCAACTGGGATTAAACTACCTAATTATAGTCTTTGATATATTCCTACCTCAGATTCTATTGTAACCTCAACTCCCTACAATCAATTGATTGTACCTCTATTTGACAAAGTCAAGTTCTTTGGTACTAGCCTTTGATCATCTACAATTGCATCACAACAATTAGACTTAGATAAGTGATGGTCTTTTGTAAGAACAATATCAATATACTAAAAGCACAAAAATTTGATATAATAAAAGATGATCTTGTAAAATTATGGAACTAGTATCTATATTGCCCTTGTGAGCCATAAAAATAAAATACATAAAAAGATTATATTATATCAAATTTTAGTATCACTTGGATTTAATTATAAATAAATTAGATATAAAAAGATGTAATTAATTCAATATTAATTATAAAACGATTTCAAAAAAAATAAAAAAAATAAAAAAATATATATATTTTTTATTGAATGAATCAATATATATCTATATGCTATTTTAACAATAATATTTATTTTACTTTTGATTCTTGTGTTGTCTTCATGGATTTTGTCTTATTTATATTTATAATATAATAATAATTATTTTATATAAAAACTATTTAAAATAAATAAATAATAAAAAGTTCTAAGTTAAGGACATAGCAATATAAAATAGTAAAAGAAGGGTGTAAATCTATGCTTTTAAGAGCTTCAATAAATTTCATGTACTCAAGAAACTATTTGGTATTCTTATAATTTGTCCAACTTAACACAGTAGGCGATGTTGCTAATTCTACTCATTCACTAAATGGACAAACTCAATAATCTTTTGTTGCCTTAGAACTTGTATTGAGGATTATCAATCATAATTTTTACATAAAATTATAAATATAAAATAAAATTATTGAAATTTTGAATGATTCTTATAGATTAGTAGTGATGTCTAACTTCAAATAAAAGACAATTATGTCAAAAGTAGAAACTTCATAACTAGTAGCTATGTATTTCTATTCTAAGGAATGACATAATTTGGAGATTCAAAAAAAAAGCTCTTAGCAGAGATTTAGAGCAATAAAACATAATTGATAGAAGATTGACAAATGCTTGATATAATTTGTATTGTTTTGGATGTGAAAAAATTTCAAGCATCAAATTCAAATGTGTATCCTTGATTAATATTACAATCTTTTGTTATAAAATCTTATGTTTCTTACTAGCAAATACATTTATTGATCCTACATAACTCTAAGCCTAGCATCTTTAACTTCTTCAAAGCATGTCAATTAGATATATGGAAAATATGTTATATAAATCATTATAATTTAATTTAAAAAATAAAAATAAAAATAAAAATTAGTTCTTTGCTAATAGATTAATTTGAAGAATAAAAAGACAATTGGCACCAAAATATTTGTTTGCCCTATTATTATAAAAATTGAGACGATTTTTGACATGAAAAAAATAACATCTTTAAGGATTAAAATATGAATGTTCTAAAAAAAATATGATATTAATACCATTGTTTTGGTTCCAAAATTAAACTTGTCAATGTACCTACTTTTCATTGCAATATTTGCTATAGCAGTGTAATCAAAAGAACTATATATTATTAGATCATTGCATTAGATGTCTTGATCTAATAGCTAATGGATTTGGTATAGACCAATAAAGAATGGAATCCAAAAAATATATATATAAATGCAGAGAAACTTCAAAAAGATTAGAATCAAACTTACAAAGTAGAATCTATAATATTTTGGATGTGAAAAAAATTCAAGCATTAAATTTAAATATGTAGTTGTGAGAGTCAAAAAGTTCAATACTCTCTCTTTCTTGCTTAAATGTTTTATAAAAGGAAAAAATATTAACAAATTATAAGCAAAGATATCTCGAATGTCCATAGAAGTACTATAATGAAGTGACAATAGAAAGGTTGGAAGGACCGTCTTCTTCACTTTGAGGTTTATATTATGTGAGGGCACTTTGTGGAATAAGAAATATTGGAACCTAAAGATGGATCATGGGTGCCTCAAAAGAAGGCTTAAGATCCCTTTCTTTTGAAATCTAAAAGTAAAATTTAATTTTAAGTTGGGAATTAGAAATCATTTCATAAGTGCCTAAGATTACTAAAAGATGACTTCTAAGCATTGATGATAGAAGGTCATGTCACTATATAAAGTCATGACATGATTCCAAAGTTGTGATCCACTATAATAAAGACTTGCAATGCATCTCGACATAAAGCTCTGGTGCAACTGGATCACAACCTAAATCTAGTTGCATTCAAGACCAAGAGAAGACTTGATGGGATTGTTTTGGAATTATTTTGTGAAAAGTCTTTTGATTGAGTTTTGAGATGTTTTGACAAATGAACTTCTAAAAGAACTTCCATCTAATAGATTGGTGGATCATAAGATTGAATTAATTCTAAGTACATAACTTCCAAGCAAGACATCTTACAGATTGAATCAAACAAAGTTAATTGAACTTCATGAACAATTCAATGAGTTGTTTGAAAAAGGATATATAAGACAAAGCAAATTTCCATTTGATGTCTTGATTCTTTCTATGACCAAGAATAATGGAAAAATAAAGATGTGCATTGATTATAAGCATTAAATAAGATCACCATCAAAAACAATTATTCACTTTCAAGAGCTGATGACTTATTAGATAGGTTGGATGGTAGTAAGTTTTTTAGTAGGATTGATCTTAACAGTGGTTACTATGAACTAATGATTGTCTAATAAGATATAGAGAAGGCTGCTTATATAACCAAATATAATTTTTATGAATTTATAGTAATGTCTTTTGGATTATATAATCACCTTACCACTTTCATTACTTTGATGAACTCAATCTTTTATAAAGAAAGTGATGAGTTTGTAGTAGTTTATGTTGATGAAATTTTAATCTTCTCCAAGAATAAAGAAGAATACAAGCTATATTTAAAAGTAGTCTTGAATAAACTAAAAGACAACCAACTCTATGTCAATATGGAAAAAAAAAAAAAAAAAAAAAAAAAAAAAAAAATCTTAAAAGAGTTAGAATCCTTAGGACATGTTATCATTGAAGAGGATCTAATACTAGAGCCAAAGAAGATAGAAGCAATCAAAAGTTAAAAAATACTAAAGACTTAAAAATAAGTAAGGTCTATCTTAGGACTAGCAAACTACTACAAAATATTCACAAGGAACTTTTTAAAAATTGCTAGTTTTTTCATAAATCTCTTAAAAAAGGATAACAAAATCATAAAGTAAAATTGAGAATGTGAAGAATTTTTTTAAAAAATAAAGAATGCATTAGTATCAAGTAGGGTCTTATTCTACTTTAACTTTGATATGAAATTTGAAGTCCATATAGATACAAATAACCATACCTTGTCACATATGTGGAATGGTGGTTGTTCCTTTTGATAGACATCCACATTGATCTTTTGTTATTCTTGAGCTTCTTTTAACTGTACCATTATTGTTGCATGTAGCTCTAACAAATGATTTGTCAAATCTTCCGCCATAGGATTATCAGCTTTTGAAAAGTCAAAAGTATCAAGTTTTAGATGATAACCATAGTTGGCAAACAAAGGTGTTTATTTTGTAGAAGAATGTAATGTGTTATTATAAGCAAAATCTACCAATGACAAAAGAATTGTCCAATAATCTTGTAGGTAGTTGATGGTATATCTTACATAATGTTTCAAAATTTAATTAACACGCTCCATTTATCCATCAATTTGAGGATGGAATATTGAAGATAGTTTTATATCCACTTTTAGAATCTTAAAAAGACTCTACCAAAACCTTGATACAAACTGAGTTCTCCTATCACATATAATATCCTTGGATAATCCATCATAACAATAGATGTTGTCAAAAAAGAGTTTAGCTATTTTTTCACCTCTGATAGATTTTGTATATGGTACAAAATGTGCCATCTTTGTAAAACGATCTACTATCATAAATATAGAGTCATAAGAACATGAGATTGAAAGATCCATGATAAAATCCATAGAGATAGAAGATCATGGTTGTTCTCGAATAGATAATGGTTGAAGAAAACTACAAGGTCGATGACAAGTAGTTTTTGATCTCGAACAAATGTCATATGACTGAACAAAGTCTTTCACATCCTTCCAC